GTTCTTGGGATGATCGAAGATGGTAGCGAGGACATACGCCTCGAAGTATGTCCTGACAATCTTCGAATAGCGGACATTTTAATCCCATTGATCCAGAAGCACGTGGCTGAAGGAAGCATAGTTCGGACGGACTGCTGACGGGCATATGATGCATTACCAAATTTTGTTTACGTCCACCAAAAAGTTAATCACAGCGACGACACCAACCCTTTCGTTTCCGAAGATGGTATTCATACGCAGCGGATTGAGTCGCAATCGCGCGTAGTGAAACGCTTCTTTTACAAAGACAACTACAATCACACCGCCAACTTCGCCGACGTCATCGTCGAATATATGTGGCGCCGATCTATTCAAAAACAAGGAAAAGATGCCTTTCAATCTTTAATAGATGGAATTAAATATGTATATGCATTGCACTGAAACATTTTGGCTTTATTTTGATTTTTTGTCCATACAAAAATGTTGGCTGGGTTGCATTGGTTTCAGTTTGTATGGAAAAATGAGCAAAAACACTGATTTTTGGTCATTTTCAAAGGCCTCCCTACAGGTCCATAGGGGCTCTAGGRGGTCGAGGGGGGGTTTATTAAAAAGTTCGATCCTTCCTCTTTCCAATAAGGAGTCAGGAGGCGGAGGGTAGGCCCCCCTGTTTTTCTCCATAAACGATACTTAACCGGCGCGATACTAAACAATCCCCAAGGCTATTTATATTCCTTGTTTTTAAAGTTAATTTTTTCAACAATATTAAATATTTCTTCGCCTCACCTTCTTCAGTTTTCGGTAATTCAACTACTCTAGGATGAGCGTGTCCTTCACTTGCAGCAAATGCTGCCACAGTGGCTTTAGCTGTGGCCGAAGCTCTAACATCCTGAGAACCCTGAATGTCAACTGTTTCGTATACGTGCTCATAAACTTCTCGGACAGCGTTCAAAAAATCGCTTTGGAAAACTTTCTGTAACGCAGAAAGCTTAGTTGTCGGAAAATCTCCACTACATTGTAATTTATCTAATAACTCAATGGCCCTCTTTATATCTAAAAAAAACTAATATTACACCAAGTTTTTTGTCATCACAATGTTATTCACCCTTAGATAAAGTCAGCGGCTCTACTTGAACGGACATCTTTTTTACAACCAACAATTATGACCTTAGTACTTCACCATATAAATAAATTATAACACTGTTTCCCAATAGCATACGCACATAGTTTCGCAGCAGTTAGGCATCCTTCTAGCTGTCGATAAATTGTTTATTAAAATTCGATAAATCGTTTTACATTCGCAATAGCTTAYAATGCCCATACACGACACACATGTACGTTCGATCGCCCATACACGACACACAAATCCATTTTGCGTTCGTTMTTCACACAGTGAACATGTGCCACAGGCAAGCGGGTATACCATCCCACGATTTCGGGTTTAAAAGTGGTATGGTTGGATAGGGCTGATGCTCCAGATTAAGAAAATATACAATTGTTGCCGCCGCAAACTTGTAGTTTTCGAGTTATTTGCATTTAAAATTTTGCAAATTTTATCTTGCAATTTTTATGCACTTACACTTCACTACATTGTTTCGACATATTTTTTTCAGTAATTATTTAGTTATTTGCTTAAAATAAACATTTTATATTTTACACAATTTTCATTCCATGCACAATAACAAAAGTATTCCTTGTTGACAGATAATAAGTGTTGCTATATTTACAAATTTATCAAACAAATAGTAATGAATATAACAACTCAAGCGCAGGAAATAAATACCATCTGAAATAAATTTTCCATTGTAAAGTTTTAAGCCTTATATGTATGTTTAATTGCATCTAATAATTTAACAAAAGAATCAGGATGATTATTTGCAATATTTTATCTCAAAATATATTCAAAAATTAAACTAGAAAAATATATTTTTTTATTATTATAATTGTCCTTAATAAAAAAAATGTCCGTCCTCGGCGACGAACGGATTATCGGGGTCGCTGTGATTAACMCTTCGGTGCCCATACCCGTGACTGGACAGACAGTCGTATGCCTTCCAGCAATCAGTACATAAAATACTGCCTTTTGCTACGTGCTTCTCTATCAAAGGAATGAGCGCCTCAGCACACCTGACATTGCCGGGACATACCTCCAGCCTAAGGTCGCCACTCCCATCCTCAATCATCCCAAGAACCCAGTGGCCCTCGACTCTCTGCCCTAAAATAAGAAAAGATATTTGTTATTGTATTTTCTCTTCCCAAATCATCTATTTGAACAGTTTTACCAGGGACACCAATTTTACCTACCGCTACCTTATGGTCAACCTGGTATAATATTACGGCTTCGCGGCAGTAATTATGCCAGTCACATATAGTAGCGCTAGATAAAACTGGTTCCCTGATAAAACTGTTTTTTCTCACCTCCGATTGCGACCAAAGAGATGCATACGCATTCATTAGATAAAATACCTGTAGAAGTGGAATTTTCACATTKKCGATCCAAGTATCGCTCGACCTTGCCAACGCAGGTCGGTTCTGTCAAACACCTTTCCGGCATCGGAACACCCCAACAGTGCTACTTTTATTTAATGACAGCGTTATTGGCACTTTATGAGTACGGCAAATTTTAGATTTTAAAATCAAACCTTGTTCTTCGGCGAAGGAAACACATTTTTCTTTAGAATCAAATGTTTGGATTATTTTTAAAATATTCCACATTGATTTCACTTCCGAAGCTTTGAGCACATTGGTTCGCTTTATGACACCTCGACTGGTTGACGTTCCGACATTGATTTCATTTCCGAAGCTTTGAGCACATTGGTTCGCTTTATGACACCTCGACTGGTTGACGTTCCGACACAATCAATTTATTTAAACACCTTAAGTTATATTTTTATCAATTTAAAACTTATATTACTTACCTGATGAATTTGCACTCATTTTTTAAAATACTCCTTAACTTTTAATAATTATATATTTATATATATTTAAAATCTTATATACTTTAAATTTTTATTTATTGTATATTGTAATTAAAATACACCTTAACTTTTTATTATTATATATTTATATATATTTTAAATCTTATGCACTTTAAATTTGTAACCTGGATTTATGCCTGTAGCCAATCGCAGAATTCAATGAAATTAATATGAGATTTAATACAAAACGGGAAAACAGAAACGGTACATTGCTTAGTTGTTCCAATATCCGTTATAAAAAATGTACTTTAAAAAGGGGAAACGCGGAATTGATTATTGTGAAGATAATGACAAAACGGACAACAAAAAGAACGGTACCTTGGTTTGCTGTAACAATATCCGTTATAGAAAATGTAGTTTAAAGAGGGTGATATACCCTATTTAACATAAGTTTTAGACAGACCTGTGTAATACTGAGTAGTAATGGTACTAGTACGTACTTAAATACTTTAAATTTTATCTTGAAGTACTTAGCATGTACTAAGTGCATTCAGAATTTTCAAGTACAAGTATAAGTACAAGTACAAGTAATTGAAAAATACTTGAAATTTTAACAAATACTTGAAAGTATTTGAAAAGAATTGAAAGTACTTGAAAATAATTGAGAAATGTACTTGAATCTATTTTCAATTCTTTTCAAGTACTTTTAATTACTTACAACTTTGAAACCAATATCTAAAAGAAATAACAGAAATTAATAACATTTTTATATTTCTTATATACTGTTCATTATTTTTATTATGCAAATTAAACACAAATGAATAATTTAATTTCTTTACAACAAAAATAAACAATAATTCATCATAAAAAAATATATAAAGTAACAGTAATTCACCAAAAAACAAAATCATAAATTAACAATTCAACAAAAAACAAAATTATAAATTAACAATAATTCAACAAAAAACACTCATAACCACTTGGAATTTGCTTTCATTAGAACAAACTTTTCAAAAGAAAAGTCTGTCAATGAACCTCTCCTTGGGCTATTTATTATCCCCGCAAATGAAAAAAGACGTTCAACAGGTGCCGATGATGGCAGTGGGGTATTGAATTTCACAAATGCCTCCTTCAGCAATGGATATCGGTCCCAGGTACTATCAGTCATCGATTGGTCATTTAAATAACTATAGTATTGGTTTGCTATCGCAGCTCTCATATCAACACTTTGTGAAGCTGACGCGGTGGCATTTGTGTCTTGACTATCACCTAAAACAATAAAGGCATGTGTAAAAACCTAGAAGAAAAGTAAATAGATACATTCTTACCGGCAATCTTTTAGAAATCGCTTCTAAAGCATGGTTGTTTTTTGTTATTGCCTCCCTAATGCTTTTAATCACCCTGTTGTTAATGCTTTCTTCCGTCAAATCCGGAAGTGTGTCCTGCAACGCCTCGATCCAGTCGGTCTTCACATCTGGAGTCAATACAGCTCCAGCTATTGCAATATCTGCTGACGGGGCCAAAGTAAAATATGGTTCAAATCTTTTCCTCAGCTTTTGATCCAACATCATCGCAACAGAGTTGAGATTTGGTATATCTTCAGATATACTTAATTTCATCAACTTATTACTCAGAGTCAAAAGACTGGGTAATAAACAACCATATTTAACATTAACCTCCTCCTGCAAGTCATCTAGAATATTTGCAATTGGCTCCAGCAGCAGCGTATATTTTTCCAGATAAGTGAAGTCTCCTGCGGTAAATTTTGCCAAGTCAAATTCTTGACACAAATCATTCAACTTTGCTTTATACGCGAGTAACCGTTTGACTGCATCATACAATGAATTCCAACGCGTTACTACGGGTACAAGCAAAGCTGAACATAGAATTTTTAGAATTACTTCACAAGACTTCGGCCACTTGCACTTCTTCCACAAAGCATTGCATTTGCCAAATATCTGGAGAAAAAACACAATATATTTTTGAATAAACCGGTTGTTCAAAACTATATTACCTCTGTATGTTGCAAATAAAGTGTCTGGTTTGATTGCAAAACTTTCGCTAAATCAGTTGTAGCGAGCAAACTTAATGTGTGACTTGCACAACGCTGGTGTTGGGGTAGCAGGCACTCATTGGAAAACGAAGGCAGATCTTCATCGCTGTCGGCATTCTTTTCTTCGGGTTGAACTCCATGCTCCTTAAATGCCTTCACAAAGTTCGACCCATTGTCTGTGACAGTCATGACGACGTTGGACTTAAAAGGAGCTGTTAATTTCGTTGATGACCTTCGTTAGTTTTTCCGTCGAGTGCACACCAGGGAGCCTTTTACATGCTAAAGCAGCTGACTTTCGCTCCAGTTTTTCTGTCAACCAGTGACWCGTATATCCAAAGAAGCTTCGGTTAGTGCACGACCATATGTCAGCGGTTGTACAAAAATAATCAATATTTTCCATCTCTGACTTTATTTTGTCAACCATTCTGACATACTCACCCTCCAATTTTGTCATCAGGGTTTTCCTAGTCATTACTTTAAGACCAGGCACATATAAAGTCAATGCCTTCACAAATTTTGGCCTGTCGAGTAATGAGGCAGGTAAACCCGCGTCGATAATCGCGTATACCAAATTTTTGTCGAATACGTCCTGTAAAGTTCGATTTCCGGGACTACCCGTCTGTAATAACATCAATTATTTTTTATTATGTTATTAAAGAAACCAATATATAGTGAACGCCCTTTATAGTGAACGCCTCGATATAGTGAAAATCTTAATTTTTACATACAGTACTCTAAATAGAAAACAATCGAAAACAGGTATTGCAATAATTAGTTCACTATATCCGGACACGACTGTATATGTAAGTGCAAATACCTTCAGAAATCAGTACTCTTCGTGTATTTCGCGATGACGAACTCGTAAATGCTTTACGAAATTGGAAGTAACTTCTCTGGATCCCTTTATGACGCGACCACATTCAACGCA